TCCTTCAGGTAACCAGGACCCAAGCCATTAAGGGCTTTATACGTCATCACCAACACCTTGAATTGGGCCCGGACTTCAATGGGAAGCCAGTGAAGCTGACGGAGAACTGGAGTCATGTGAACATAACGCCCAGTCCCCGTCAGCAGCCTGGCAGCTCTATTTTGAACCAATTGAAGTATCCGGACCATCTTCAAGGGCAGCCCCACGTAGAGCGCGTTACAGAAGTCAAGTCGGGAAGTCACCAACGCGTGTGTTACTGTTGCCAGGCAGTCGTTCTCCAGGTAGGGGCGCAGCTGATGGATCAACCGAAGCTGAAAGAGCGCTTCTCGCCACTGTTGTCACCTGAGCTTCCAGTGAAAACTATGGGTTGAGGAGCACTCCCAAGCTGCAGACCTTGTCCCTAAGAGGGAGTGCAACCCCATTCAGGACTAGGTTCAGTTCACCTTCCCCGAAGCCTGATCCACCAACCAACAGGACCTCCGTCTTGTCTGGATTGAGCTTCAGTTTTTTGGCCCTCATCCAGCCCATTACCTCGGCCAGGCACCGGTTCAGCACAGCCACTGCCTCACCTGGATTGGTGGAGAACGAGAGGTAGAGCTGGGTATCATCAGCGTACTGATGATTCTGCAGCCCACACCTCCTGATGACCTCTCCCAGCGGTTTCATGTAGACGTTAAACAGCAAAGGGGACAAAATGGATCCCTGCGGTACTCCAGACCAGTCTTGGCATGGAGATTGAAGTCCCCCAGGACCAACATCCTGGGGGTCCTCAACACCAGGTCTGAGACTATCTCCGTCAGCTCAGGCAGGGAAACTATTGGGCAGAAGGGTGCACGGTACATAAACAGAATCCCCAATCTGTCTCGGTCACCCAACACCAAGTAGAGGCACTCCAGCGCTGGCCTCGAAGGGACTGGAAGTCCCGTGAGGGAGATGGAGGCTCGGTAAACCAAAGCGACCCCCCTCCCCTCCCCTTCAGGCGTGGACAGTGCTGAACCAGATACCCAGGCAGGCACATTTGAGAGAGGGCGACATCCCCCCCTCTCCCACCCAGGTCTCTGTTATGCAAGCCAGGTCGGCCCCCTCATCCACAGTCAAGTCATGGATGAGGGAAGATTTATTGTGGGCTGACCTGGCATTAAGCAACAGCACCGTCAGGCCCGAGGGGCGGTTGACAAGACTACCTGGAACCCTCTCGCTGGGGGTGGAACCAGAAGGAGGGACAGGTGTCAGCCATCTGTCCCTCCTTCTTCTACGCGGACACGTTAAACCCCCACTGCTGTAACATCCATTTCCCGTGACCACCCCGATGGAGGCGCCCACGCGCTCCCCAGGTAATTCAACCGTCGACATGGCCAGGGATGACTCCATAAAAACAAATTAAAATACAATAAAACTTTAAAACAGTATAAAACTTCCCGTCTATCCCCCCAATATAAAATTCCACCCACCGACCTAGCCCCCCGCCAGCCCAGCCCCACATGGCCACAAACGGCCACAAACGGCAGCAACCGCCCTTTGGCTGTCGCCCTTCGGCTGCCGGCCAGAGGCTGCCGGCCCCAGGCCACGTCTGGCGGGTTAAGCTGGCGCCCACGCGCGCGCCCTACCCCCCAGTCAGGCATTGCTCTCACCGACGCCGGCGGGGGGGGGGAAGCAGAGAGGGCCGCGGAAACCTGCCAGGCAGCAAGATGGTGGCGCCCTCCTCTGCAACATCGGCAGCAGCCCTGGTGTGGCCCTGGCATCCTCCGTCCCCGGAAACTAGATTAACATCCAGTTTCTAGCATGTTAATATCCGCTATTCCACTTTTAAATCAAAGACATCTGGTCTTAAACACTTTTGCATATTTTCATAGGGAGGCAAACAAGCAACATGTGAGATGTCAGAAGTGTTTGGAATTTGGTCACTGGACCTATGAATGTACTGGGAAAAGAAAATACCTACATAGACCATCAAGGACAACAGAATTTAAAAAAGCATTTAAAGAAAAGGAGAACCAACTATTGCAACAAAGGTAAGGTCAGCAGTGCAGAAGCTGGCATATCACTTGTAGAAACATGTATGTACATGATCTAACCATAGTGAAGTTCTCTTGAGTTTTGTCTGACTGGTAGGGAAGCCGAGTTCTTGCTAGGAATACGCACTAGTGCTGATGTAATACTTTTTGTTCTGTTGTGAACACATTGACCTGGTTTGCATGTAACAGTAACCCACTCTTCAAAAAGTGATGGGTTATTTTGGCAGGGCAGGGAAATTGGGTGTACTGCCCACAGTCACCCACGTCTTTCAGTTTTACTCAGCAATCTATAATCAGCTCCTTTGTAGATTGCTGAGCATGACATAAGAAAAAGGGCTGTATGGTTGTTTTTTAACTACAAACCATGGTTTGCTGTCAGGTTAGACTCAGCATCCCTGACAACCTAGCAGTTTTTAAACTGGTGGGTTGTCATTACATGCAAACAACCCAGTTATGAGATTCTGCTTCCGCCCCGCCCCCAAACTATCATTTGTTTTGGGCAGACATTAACAGTGGCCAGTACTAAGAAAGGTGAGCTCATAGACCTTGTATTTGGAAGCAATGTTTGTCAACCATTACAAATTGTTTACAACTCCCCAATTTATTGTTACTCATTATAATATTAAGGACAGTGGCAAGAATTGCATGTGCAAAAAGGTTTGGACAAATAGTTGCTCTTTCACAGCTTATTTTGTATGTAGAGAAAGCAGAAAAGTCTGTACACAGCTTTAAGGCTGTGTCCACCACACATACATTTACATTTATACTTAACTTTGTTTGGTTTGCACTTGATATTTTTGCATAGTCAACTAGTACTAAAAGCAGTTACTACATTATCAAGAGCAGGTGGCAGTAAACATAAGTCAGTAGTAAACATTCCCTTCCTGTTCACTTTCCAGCTCCCATGTTTCTTATAACTTTACATGTGATTATGTAGTTTCTTCTTTCCTGACTTAAACATTGGAGTTCTCTTCTTTCCAGTTTGCTTTCTCTTGCTGCTTCCCTCTTTTCTCCAGTCTTTACTCTGGTTTTAGTTTAGTTTCTTTCTTATTTTGACCACGTTTTTCTTTTTGTGGCACTTCCTTCACAGGATTACATTTCCTTATCCATCTGAATGTATTACCATCTTGTTTTTCAGTCTCTTCACTGTATACTGATCTGATCTATATACCAATTCTTTCAGTTCCTAGTTTTTCCTCATCGCTTTACTGCTCCTTACCTTTTGCTGAACCTTGACCTATTACTTCTGTTCCACTTTTTCATCCTTTTGTTGTTCCTTTTCTCTGGTACATCTTGTCCCAATAGCTCTGCATCTAACTTAGAAATGATTAAACAGTATCTAGAGACATGTTTCTTATCTTCTGCCCATTTTACCTTTTCTGTGTCCTTTTGTGTGCCCTTCCACTTTCCTTAAGGTCTCTTATCTTAAGCCTGCAAGCTTGCAGGCAGGGTGGTTCTCAGCACACTTCTATGCCAGCATTAAGCTACTTTTAAAGTGTTGTTGATGGTGATGATTGTGCTAGAACTGGTTCTTGCAGGTTCTGTTTGAATGGGCAATTTCTGATTATTCCGTGCAAAACAACCGTATATGCACTAGCTTATCTGTTGGCAAAGCTGGCATGGTGGAATATTTTTAGATCTATTTTGGCATTGTGCTCTTGTCCTCAGCCAAGTATTTACTCAAATCAAGCATTAAGATATAGTCCAAAAGGTTAACAAAAGTACTATTTGGACGGGTGGCATATAATTTAGGTTTCCAGCCTGTGTGCAGGAATTTGTTTTGATTCCAGGGTATTATACAGGGTACTTGGTACTCTTGTACTCCTCTGCAAAGTTAGTGTGCCTAAGATGCTTAAAATCAATAGACTTCAATCAATGGTTAAAATCAGTACCCTTACTGCATATGCTTGATTTCCTCTGGATGTGTGTTGGACTGCAGCTTCCATCATTTCCAAGTTAGCATAGCTAGTGCCACCAGATTGGGAAAAGCTGCTCCACAGGTAGCAGACTTAGTAAGTTTAATTAATTTAATATACAAAAATGATTCAAGATAGGCTGTATATTAAAGCCATTATTTTGGCTATTGACTGCACATGGCTTCTTCTTTTCTTTTTCTTTTAAAGGGGCAACAATTTTTAATAAGTGCTTGCTTTTAAATCTCGTTCCAACTCTTCCTTATATAAATGTGTATGGTGCTGATTTCTCCACCATTATAGCAAATTTTAGAGTATTTAAGTAATAAAAAACAGCCTAGTAAGGTAAAGTATTAGTGCTATCCCCATATTGCAGTGAGTTGCTGAGTCTTCAGGATTAGTTGCATGCTTAAGTTTAACTGGTGAGTTTGTAAAAGTGAGGTGATAGTTCAGCCAGGAACTATCCAACTTAAATTCTTAAGCCACCCCACTGCAGAGTGCATTCAAACTATAATTCCTGGAGATTCTAGAAACAGATATAGGTTATTTCAGAGCTGGACAAAGTTTCAGTCCCTCCAATCTACAGACCAAAAGTCTTAGAGACTTGAGGGTCCCTGTTCTGTTTATAAGTCTTTTAATAGGGAAAAAGCCTTTGGAGGGTATAATTAATTAATTTCCTAAGTAAAGTCTGCTGGGCATGTATGAAGACAAAATGTCTGAAGATGCAGATCAGCCCACTCAGTTCCAATCCTTGAGCAAAGACTTTGGAAGAGGTGGATTAACCCCCTTCCTGAGGGCTGCAGAACATAGGTGAAGAGAAAGGAAGGGTAGGAATATCATAGCATAGACCTCACTCCTGGTCAGAACTCAAAAGCAGGCAATATTAACTGATGTCTTTCTTTTTCCAGACCTTCCTTTTCTGGCCTGTGTGTTTTCCTTTTTGGCTGAGCCTGCTCACTCTTCTCTCTGTATTGTTCACATTTTTCAGTAGTCAACAACTTTCCCCTCTCTCCAATGCTATCCAAACTTCTAAGGCTGCTGCTTCAGTCTTCCCCTCCGTGCTTGTTCAGCAGCACCTCACCTTTCTCTCTTCTGCATGTTGTCTATGCCTCTTCAGTTGTATCTCCCTCCTCTGTGCCAGATGTTTCTCCACTGCCCTCAGTGGCACCTGTAGCCCTGATTGCCCATTCTGCCAGCGTCTTGTGGGGGCTGTCATGGACTGCATGGACCGCAAAGTACATGGACATCGTTGTTGGTTCATAAGCCACAACTGAACTGTCAAAGAGCTGCATGTGACTTCTGAGCCATAGTTCGGCCACCTCTGGGTAATTCTGAAGAAAAAGTTCTGCATTGTGGGTTCCCTTAGATGAATGAGCCATCCTTCAGTGCATGGTTTGTGTCTTTTTAAATTGCTGTTTCCAGCTGAGGCATAAGGACAGAAGCTGTAGTGATCCGTATCAATTGAATGCAGAATTTTGGCTGTAATACTTCACCAGTTGCCCTTTGGCTTCTCATAGAATTTAATTTAATTTGCCTTGGGAACTAGATAAAATGAAAAGAAATTGCAATGATTCTCTCCCCCCACCCACCTTTTGTAACATTACCTAGTGTTTATTGTTAGGAACACTAGTAATTAGTATTACTGTTTGATGACAGATTCATGGTGGATGAGGCTTTCAGTGGCTTGCTGGCTGCGTGCTAACTCCTTTAGCAGAGGTGGCCTGCCTGCTGAGGAGCTTGACTGGTGGACATTTTGTACCCATCTTGCTTGTGATCAGCTGGTTTGCATTGCAGCGTACAGAGGGCTGGACCAGATGGACCTTTGGCTTTTCTTAAGTTTTTTTGTTCTTATCTAGCATGGTAAACTGTTTTCAAACTGCTCCAAGAAACTTTAGCAAAAGAACTTGTAGCGTATTCTACATTTCTATTTGTTCTTGGTGCTTTACCTTGATGTAAGATGAAAACCTTAAGTCTTTTCTTCTACATTAACTGCTCTAGAAAATGTGGTTCAGCCATTAAAAATTTCAATGAACAAATAACCTTATTTATGTGCAGTCCATTGACAAAGCTCCGTGTGACTTACAGTATCAATAAAATATTAAAATGATCAGACCTAAAACAGCATAAAACATATTGTTAAGCTGAATAGTAAAATGCTATTCACTGTAGGTTTTCTATTATTATTTTGTGCCATTCTTCAGCAGATTCCCAGGGTGCTCTTCATGAAAATGTCCCTTAAGTTGGAAAATGATATCTATTTACTCAACCCCCAACTCTTTGCTTCTATATTGCTAGGCAGCTGACATTTTCTAAGACTAAGTCCAAGTTTCAGTATGTAACTTTTTTTGATAAACAACAACAAAGTAACTGTTGCACCCATATGTATTAAAGCTGTTTGTTTTTTTTCTTCCACCCGCTTTCAACTAGCTCTGGAGAAAGTACTGCAGACAGGAAGAACAAGAAAAAAAAGTATGTGGAAATTTGAACAATTTCCTGTTCATTGTACTCATCGTGCATATGTAAGATGTATCTTACTATGATTATTACATTGCATTTATATCTTGCCATTTCTTGGTCTTGTGAGGAATACAAGGCAGATTACATAGCCCCATTCAATCCTCACAACAATTCTGTGAGGTAGGTTAGGCAGTGAGCGAGTGAACGAAAGTCACCAACTTTGAGCTTCATGGCCAAGTGGTGATTTGAAATTTTATGAGTTCAGCTGCCATGTTTCTACATTATTGTTCTGAATATTGATAATTTTTTGGAAAAAACTTCAGTATAGCCTGGAAAATTACTCCGATTTGTATTAATATAGTCTTATTTTTATCACTTGTTCTGTGCTACTTTTTAAAACACCTTCTACTAGCAAACTGACACTTTGGAAGTCAAAGATGCTTTCACACAACTAATCATTTCAAACATTTTAAAAACAGAATTGTCAGACAATGGTATCTTGGGAGTGTATATTTTTCCCCACGACTTGGAAAGACTGCAAGACATTTTGGCCCAATTAATTAAGGCATAATCCTATGCACATATAGACAGAAAACAGTCTCTGCAACTCCCAGCATTTCTCAGCCAACTATATTGACTGGGTAATGCTGGGGCTTATAGGATTTCTTTCTTCTGTCTAACCATGCATAGGATGTGCCCTAACTTTTAGTAGACTTTGCTGACTACTGATTGGCACAGCAATGATGAATAATACCTGCTGATCCTTTTACACTTTTTCTGCAGGTCCAAAAGTGTGACAAGTTCCAGCAGTAGCAGCAGCGTCAGTTCAGCTAGTGAATCTTCATCTGACAGTGAGGAGTCCTCATCCTCTTCTTCTGATGACAGTGACAGTGATGAAAGCACTTCCAGTTCCTCATCCTCCCCTTCTTCAAGTAGTTCTTCCAGTTCTTCTGACTTTGAGACAGATTCTAGTTCCTCTAGTAGTAGCAGCAGCAGCAGCAGCACAGATAGCAGCACAGATGATGAGCCACCAAAGAAAAAGAAGAAGAAAAACAACTTGGTTCGGTGTTAGAACTTTGGCATTAATGAACAATAAACAGCATCTAAAATGCATAATGGCCAAACCAAACTAACAGGTCATTTTTTACCATTGATAAACTGTATGTGTTTTACATAGTAGTTGATAGGACATATGCTGTTAAATGGCAAGTAATGCTTATTGAAAGAGTATTTTTGTGGATTATGGGTTAATAGGAAATGCTACCTTTTTTCTTAGTTTTTAAAGAAATCTATCAAATGTTTATATGAACTAAGGTCCAGTCACCCTAATGTTTACATGCTAGAAAGCAAAACACAATTTCTTTGAACTATTCTGTGTTATGTCATAGCAACCTTCTGTTTATATTAACTTCTTCAATTTTGCATACAACACAAAGTAAGAAGAATATTAAATTTTATTTCAGTTAGCTGCTATGTCCAAAGCCATATTTACTCCACTAACAGCTAAAGGAGAAATAATAATTTCCTTCAGTACAGACAGATTTGCTTTCTTCAACTGGCTTTTCCTGCTATTTTCTGGTCAAATATTAGTTCTGGTCAAATATTAGTTATAATATCAAATTTCTGTTAGAGTAGATTTATTGGACATTGGTATCCTATCTGAGGACCCTATTTTACTCCAGTCGAACAGGTTTGTTCAGCAAGTGGAAAGAGGCTTTTGGTATATAGTGCCCTTCTGGATTTGCTCCTGCATATGCATATTGTTTCTGTACAGAGATCCTAGCATACTAGAAGGCAGCACATTACTGTGCTTAAGGGTCTCTCCCTCCAAAGGAGATGGTTTCCATTTCTGAAAGTCCCAGTCAGTCTTTGTGCTGGAGGGAGGTTGATTCCAAGAATTGCTCTGCCCATAAACGGTAAACAGCACTGTCCAGTGCGAATTGCATCCATCATCTGATGAGCAAGGGAGGTTTCTGCATGTAGCTACATTCATGTCTGTGTCCACTATGAAACAGAATCTCTGGATCAGGGCCTAATGCTTTAATCTTTTTAACAATATCGGTTCAGAGCTTGAAGGCCATATCTTAAGCTGCACTTGCACTGTGCATAGAGAATAGTGTTAACTGTTGTAACTAAAGTGTTTCATCTTTGTGCCTTTTCATAACATTAGATGCACCCTAGTGAAGGTTATAAAATGGGAGGGGTAGGTTGAAATCTTCATTTCACCTTCCACATATTAATTTGGGAGCTTAGAAAAATCTTAATAACATACAAATTGTAATAACTTACAAATATCCTATTTTAAATGAGGAAAACATTTATTTTCATTGGAGCCAGATAAAAGAGAGAAACTATCTTTAAATATTTCCTCTTGTGCTATTTTTGAATAATGCTTAATTGTAAGATACATTTGATTATTCTGGTCATATAGTAACTTCCATTTGTATTCTAATTTACACTCACTAATCTAGAACAACTATTTTTCTTTTTGCATAGCACAAGTTATATATAAGTGAATGAACTCTGGAATGGAGGATATGTATTAGCAAATATATTGCAGTACATTTCTTGCTACTTACAGAAGTGAACTAACTTGTTGTGATAAATTTTAGCAATTGGCAATAGTCAATTTGTGATACAGTCTTTTAGTTTCTTATTGATAGAAGTCTTTTAAAGAGGGAACATGTGGGGGAAAACTTAAATATCCTAGTCTAGTTAAAGTATTAATGATTGAACTATTTTTTATATTTTTATGAAAATGTAGTGTGTAGAATGACTTTTGAATACAAATGTTTTATTTAAATGTTCATGTAAGTTGTGTATTTTAGTGTGTAACCATTTCTATGTTTTGCAGAATTCTGATAATGTAATTCTAAAACTACCAGATAATTATTTGAGTCATGCTAAAGAATGTATCATTTAAGAAGAAAGATTAATAAATTATTAAATGCGATTAAGGGTCTTAGCATTTATTTTCACAAACCAGTATTATAGTTTATTTTCTTCAGTGTTGCTGGTCTTAAAACCCTTAAGCCATTAAGGATAATGAAGGAAATACCTCGGAGAGGGCAGGGATCGCTATCAGCTGTTTACTCAGAGCTAAGTGCATTATGGAGACCTATTACAATTGTCCTGTGGCTACTCATGCTGATGACTGACTGGCTGAGAGGCAGTGTGCCAACTTGGTAGTCTTAGCTGTAGACTTCAAGTCTTGATTGTAGACTTTCCAGAAGCATCGGACTGGCCACTGTGGGAAACTTAATGCTGGCATGCATGAATCTTTTATTTGCTCTAGGATAGCTTAAAATACAGGAATAACATTCAAAAGCAAATGTTGTATGTAGCAAAACTGCTCTCTTTCACAATGACAAAGATTCTCTACAAAATAATTAAAGTTTAATAGTCAAATTGTAATATGGCAGCTTTCCCACTTCACATGCTAAAAAGTAGTTGTAGGTATGTAGATTTCAGCCTTGGTACCTGACTCCAGGGAATCAGCTGGAGTCAGGTACCAACTGGAATTAGGTACCATATTGTAGTGGGTGAGCACCAGAAACACATGGAACTAAAAACTAGAGTGCTTTTGGACACATGGTCAGTCCTGAGTTTACAGTTCTTTTGCACGAACTGTCACACCTGGTTTTCCACCTGGGGAGTCTTTTTGTTCTTATTATATAATAGGGAGTCAAACCCTGCTAAAGAGATTTCAAACTACTCCTGGAAAGGAAAGGGAGTCAATGATGCTTACTGGAGACTTGGAAACTCTGGAGTTGATACCGTTCAAATGCTAAAAAAAAGTAGGAGTCTTATTAGAAATACAGCTATGCTCTATTGTTAGGTCTCCCCACAACTGTGTGTGTGTGTGTGTGTGTGTAATCTCATGCACTGGTGACTTCCCGTCTTCTGTAACGCGCTCTACGTGGGGCTACCCTTGAAGACGGTCCGGATACTTCAACTGGTTCAAAATAGAGCTGCCAGGCTGCTGACGGGGACTGGACGTTATGTTCACATGATTCCAGTTCTCCGTCAGCTTCACTGGCTCCCCATTGAAGTCCGGGCCCAATTCAAGGTGTTGGTGATGACCTATAAAGCCCTAAACGGCTTGGGTCCTGGTTACCTGAAGGAGCGCTTACGTCCATATATGCCCAGTCGCCCCCTGAGATCAGCGGGAGAGGCCCTCCTCCGGGAGCCCTCAGTGAAGGAAATTAGGAGGGTGGTTACTCGGAGGAGGGCTTTTTCAGCGGTGGCGCCTAAGTTATGGAATGCGCTCCCCAGAGAGGTCCGCCTGGCGCCGTCGTTATTTGTTTTTTGGCGCCAGGCGAAGACCTTTTTATTTAAGCTGCATTTTAAATGTTAATAGCATTGAATTTTATTTGGCCAGGGCGGCTTATTTTATTCCAATGTATATATTTTAATTGTTATTGTTTTAATTTATTGTGTATTTTATTATGTTGTGAGCCGCCCCGAGGCTACGGCAAGGGGCGGCATAGAAATGTTTTAATAAATAAATCTAAAAACAAACTTTTTGAGGACATGGAAGTCATACATATGTTAGCAGTAGCTAGAATGGCTATAATTCATATAAGGAAAAATATATCTCCAACCACAGTAGGTAGGTAAGCAACCAAGTTCCTGAAAAATGGAGTATTTTTATGTTTTGAAATGATAAAGTTCAGAGAATATATGAGTATGTTAACTCCAGGGTAATATTGAAGGAGAGGTTGATCTGCTTTGCATGTAACAAAATCACATGTGGTAAATTATGGGTTGTCATCAAGTTAACCACAGATAGTTAACTACATGATCCATTGTTCGGAATAGTGGTACATGGAGCAATTTGTGGGATAATTAACCATAGGTTAACTTGGGATTGTTGAATGTCCTGTTTATCTCCAGCAGCCTATGGGTTGTTATGAGCAAACCAACCTATAGTGTTCAATCTCTATGTATGAACTATGTTAAAGGAATGTTAAATGAACTTGAATCTTCAACTGCAGACATTTCATTGAGAAAACAATTATTTGATGAATTGATTTTATTGTAACTTTCTAAGATCAATGTTGTATTTTGAAATACACTGCAAATATATTCCTATACATTAATCTTATGTGGCATGGCTACCCATGTAAAGTCCAAAATCAACTAGATTTCTGGAACAGATTTGCATATTTTTCAAGCAGGGGCATGAATCAACTGATGGCTATAAATGGTATTTTCTTAGGACTTCTATATAGATTCCTTTCAAGCATCCTTGTGATTAGGTAGACTAACTCATTATGGAATGGTTTAAAATATTTTGAAGCATGTATTTTGAAGATTTTCAATTTTACTTTTCAGCCTGGGAAAAGGAAGCCTATCATGCAAACATTGCAACTTAGTTTCAATAATTAATTGCAGGTCAGGACAAGAATAAAGCAAGACATCAAAGGGAAAGAAAGGCAAGCAACTCGTACACTGATGCACTTGTCTCTGACTGTCAAAGCTAATTAATGTCCTAATCTAACCTTGGGCATCTGAGACTAGCACATGGAGTGCACAGATGTTGACAGAACGCTGTTCCATGTTAACCCTTTGAGAGCTGTATCCATGATCTGTGATCAGGAACAAAGACATCTCTCGTAAAAGTGCTAGTTTCTTTAGAGGGAAAAATTCTGCTGTGTGAATACAAATGTCTGTATTCTTGTATCTTGTCTCATAAAACAAATAATTCTGCCACATTAAAAGATTTTCTTGGCTTTAGATTATATGTATAGTTTGAATAGATGTTTTGTTTAAAAACCTGAAAACACATATGTATGTTGTAAAATATATTATGATGCAAGGTTCTGCAATCTGCTTTCTGTATGTCATAAGCATTTTCTTCTGCAGTCATTTTTCTTCAATTAGCTAAAGCTGCTTATTTCCTGACTGGATAATAGGGAAGTGTAAATTTCTTTGTTATGTCCATCAGGACTCCAAGGACTCTTAAGTACAGCTTCAAATACAGTTTGAAAGGCAGAGATGGGAGTAGAGTGGCCAAATTCTTAAGATCATTTCTCTATTCATTAGCCAATGGAGTTTGCATGTGTGTACCTGGTATTAGAACCAGGCAGGGTAAGAATTCCATTACTATAAGACCTTCCTCCCTTCCTAACAGCCTCTGCTCAAGCTTACAGAGCTGGTATTGGATACAGTACTGCCCCCTCCCCAAGACCTTTGATTATACATGCTGAGGATGCCATGTTTGGACTGGCTCAAGATTTCATGGGATCCATTACAGCCACAGGCCTGTCTCAGATTATGTCTGGTTCAATATACCCAGTAGGATCTTAAGAATACAGGTCACATGTTGGACCTTGCGTTTTGTACTGGTTTAGGAGATTATAATCTGTTGGTGTGGGAGCCTGTAATGACTTCATTTATAGTAATAGTTCATTACCTGCTTCAGATGACAGTGTGACCACTTATAACTGCTGCCAGGGTGGAGAACCTATTACTATGGTTTGTTTTCAGAGGCTGTTGGATTCAGAGGGTTTCCTGAGGTCTCTAATTGCCTGAGTTTTAGCTTCAAGATCTTGTTTCGACCTGGGAGACAAGGATGACCAGACCTGTATCAATTCCCTGGTTTTCTAGAGAGCTCTAGCCAATGAAATGGTTGGGCTCATGACTCTAGTACAAGTGGCAGAAGACTTGTGAGAAGCATAACCAAGCAGGAGTGAGGAACATTCTAAGACTTACTCTCGGATGGCAGTGGTGGCAGCAGTGATAGTGGCAAAGAAACCGCCACCACCACTGCCTCTCCAGAAGGCTAGCCAGTACCACAGTACAGTGGGTCTCATTGCCTTTACCCATGCTCTGGTTACAACTTGACTCTTGCTGTCATGTGCCATCAAATTATATCCAACTTATAGTGACTCTGTAAATGAAAGCCCTCCAATATGTCCCACCCCTGACAGCCCTGCTCAGCTCTTGCAAATTCAAAGCTGTGACTTCCTTTATGCAGTCAATCCATCTCATATTTCGTCTTGTCTTTTATCTTCTACCTTCAACTTTCCCTAACATGATGGACTTCCCCAAGAAGTCTTACTTTTTCACGATGTGTCCAAAATATGACAGCCTCAGTTTTGTCATTTTTGCTCCCAGGGAAAGCTGTGGGTTGATTTGATCTAGGACCACTTGTCTGTCTTTCTGTTGGGCCAGGGGATTCACAAAGCTCTCCTCCAGCACCATCTTTCAAATCTAACTCTTGTCAGGTTTCTTCACTGCCCAGCTTTCACACACATTCATGCAGATGGTCTTGGTCTTGGTCTCCAGTGAAACGTCCTTACACTTGATGATCTTTTCTAGCTCTTTCATTGCTGCCCTTCCAATCAGGCTGCTTTTAATGTCTTGGCAGTCTCCCTTTGAATTGATGATTGAGTCAAGGCATACAAAAATCTTTCACCATTTCAGTTTCTTTATTGTTGACACTAAGGTGCTTTTGAAGAAAGTTCAGAAACATGAGCTACTACAGAACATGGCAGACCAGGCACTTGTTGGGGAGAAGTATTTGGATCATGCTGCACCTCTCTTGAGACAGTTTTATTGACCATCTCTTTGCTGCCAGGCTTAATTCAAAGTGCCAGTATCAATCTCAAAAGCACTAAACAGCTTGGAAACAAGTTACTTAAGAACCACCTGTAGTCATTCCAACCTGCTTGAGCTTTAAGATCTGCCATACGTTCCTGCCAGTTTGTTTATCATTAACAGCAATTAGGCTGGTGGGCTTCTTCACAGACCTCCTCCCTTCCCTGCTGTGGAGCCCTCTTCCCTAGCCTGTACATTTGGCTCCCTCCGGGCTTTTATTTAAAGATATTCTTAACACCTTTCTCTTTTCTATCCACTTTTCACTGGAGTAGGTTCTAATTTTCCTACTCTTTCCTGTTATTTGTCCGGTTTCGTAGTTTTGATTTTTTCAAAATATAAACTTTTGTAAAAATTAATCTTTGTGCTGTTTTAGTATTTTTAGTTTTATTCTGTAAGTTACTGACGAATTACTTAGGAAAGCGACCTATAAGCTCAAGTTTTATGAAGTATATTTGGATGAAACATATTCTCTGTCATCGTTTTAGCAGCTGATTCGTCCACGTCGCTCAGATCTCTTAACGCCCTCTTTTACCCCAGGAATGCACACTAGTTGACGTCCACTGACGTACTCGCCGGACAGGATGTACTGCGTAGCTTTGTACACCATAAGGCAGAAGCATATTAGAAAGTAAAATGTCCAAGCGGCGGTGTCCGCTGTGCCCTGTAGGGGGCGCGAGCAGCGCCAGCTCTCGACGTTGTGCGGATCCCTACATCACATGACCAGTCCAAAACGATCTGCAACTTCCTCTCTGGGATCCTTTCCTTGAAGGTCACGTGTGGGGGTCTTTGGTCCTGCCTCTCAGCTGCCGGACGGGGCGGCGGGGCTGTGTTTGGCGCGGGGGCTGCTGGGTAATCCTACTCCAGAGCGGGGGAGGGGCAGGAGGAGGCGGTGGCGGAGGCGGTGGCGGCGGAGGCGGCGGCGGCAGCAACAGCAACAGCAGAAGTAGTCGTGGAGGCTGGCGCCTCCGCTGCCCACTTCGCCCAGTCTAGACCAAGCTCAGCGGCCTCCAGACATGGATCGGCGGGAGAGCCGGAGATGGTACTCCGCCGTCGCGCCTTCTTTTTCGCGGTGATCCGCCGTGGCCCGCCCATTTCCTCGTCAGTGTTGGGGCCTTCCTGGCCCTCCTCACACCCTCCCGGGACTGGCGATCGGGACATGGTCGGGGAGGTCTAGCGAAGCCGTCAGCGGAGGTGAGTGACGTGCGGCTCGGGGCTGTAGGCTCCGGCAAAGTGGCCTCAGTTGGGGTGGGCTGGGGTGAGGCAAAGCCATTCCAAGCAAGGTAGGCCCCATTTCGCCAGGTAGTGGGGGAAGCGCCCCTTTTCCTGAGCAGGAGGGGAATGAGACGGGCCCACCCTCATCTCTGGCGTAGGCAGCCGGTCCTTACTTCCACTGTCCCGCCCCCACTGCCTTTCTCCTCCAAAAGCGGCCGACATCGCCTCAGGATGTGTCTTCCTTCCCCTCTCCTCCCCCTTCCGGGAGGGTGGTAGTCGGTGGGTATTTTCTGCCTTCAGTCTGGAATTGGCTTTCTTTTTCTTCCTCCGCCCTGAATTCCCTGCCCCTTGGCTTTCGGGGAAGCTTCTTTTCTTTGGATCGTTTCCTATTCGGCGGTCTTTCTTTTATATGCTCTTTGAAGGCCTAAACCTTTCAAGGTATCTCAAGATCTGTATGCCTCTGTACTAGACAGGGTGTGTGTATGATACACACATACCCACGGCTATATATGATATGTGTGAAACACACAGATAGAGATATGTTTCCGAGTTGAAAGAATGTAAGCTGACATGCTATGGCACCACCTTTCTTTCCCAGAAGTGCTAACAAAATAGCCCGAGATAAGTGCATATAAGCCATCTCCTTTCCATCTCTTGCGTTAGTTGAGTTTAATCCTACTCCAGTGATTTACGTCAGTGCTTTGTTCCTTCCACTTTGCTTTGGCTTAAAAAAAAGTACTGAGCAACTCTTAGGATGGATCAAGCAGAGCGACTGTAGGGGAGCCTACGCATTAGTTTGGTTCTTGGAGCTTTTTTGGTTAGCATTTTCTGGTTGACATTCTGTCTTTTAAACTCTAAAGACATGTTTCTTAAGTTTCTGTGAAAATATTTTGGGATTTTAACTGACTTTTTGGAAAATAAATGCAGTAACTTGACCTTTTGAAGGAAGGTTTGTGTTACTATTTCAGCTTTCCCCATACAGAATCACAACTTGAAATGGCAGTATAACATGGATGAGGCCTCGTTTCAATAGCTCTACTTTCACCTTTAGAACTGAGGACAGGTTTATCCAAAACTTATTTGTTTCTGTCTCAGCTGCCCTTGAGTATGAACATACATAAATATTAACAAATGATTTGGGTAGATGTGAATATGATCTTCAGAGTGATATTTTCCTGAAAGTCTGTTACTGCTGTAACTGCTGCTGACATGCTTTATTGCTCTCTGTGTATGTATAGAAGACTGCTATGATTACTTACATGCATGTGAAAAAATTGACTGGCTTTAAGGAAATATTGACTCATATACCACTATAGAACTATAGCTGTACTTTGGATATAATGTAGAAAGATTTAGATGATACATTTTACATGGTACATTGTTGAACTACTAGTGTTGATAGAAAATTTAATTTTCCACTGCACCAAACTCTTTAAGTGGGACTAAACCTTATTGTATTTATTGCAATTATTTATATAATAATTGTAATCACTCAGACTTCTGTCATTAGGGATAATCTAGCTGGACTTCTTGGAATCTTCCAGGGAAATGTGAAAAATAGTTTTGTTTTGTTTTTTTTTGTTTTTTTTAATTTGAGTTTGAGCCAACTCAGTACTTCCTTTTTACTATAATGAATTCAGAGTAGTACTGTTGTTCATAAATTGAGTAGGGTCCCAAAATATTTGTTACAAGTATGTTTCATGCTTTTCTTTTTGGTTTGTCACTGTGTCTTTCATCTTCTGTGAATACCCATTTATCATGCTGGTAATTTAATCAGAATCTTTTGATTTAATTTGGTTGAATTGAAGTGAAGACCATAGCATTAAGTTAGTTTAATTCTGAATACTTCATTTTAACTGATGCCCAATTCACAGTTCAAGTTCCATGACTAGGTTGGATGGATTTCATTTTGGTATGTCATACAATATATGCTGTAAACAGCCTCTCAATTTAAAGTAAACAAAATGGACTGTATCCAATACTATTCTAACCTATTTTCAGTTTAGTGAATTTAAGTGGGACTAATACTGTATACAACCCAGTATTACTGATTGACATACCAAAACTCCAGTTTAACCAGGATTTCATAGTAGTTTTGAGATTGCACCTTCCATTATCAATTAATAGGTATAATTCTCCTGCTTTAAATCCTTCCTACAGCTGTTGTTAGCTGGGGGTAGGATGAGGGGAAGAATTGTATGGTGTAATATCTAATCCTGTATGACAGTCTTGTAAATAAACCTGCAAAAGTTACCAGGTTGCTATCCTTTGGCAGCCCACATGGTTTCTATCTTGGATCTGGAGAAGAGATGGAGCCTTGTCACTTTTAACATTCAGATTAATGCTTTAATAAAACACTGTTGTATGTTTCTCCTTTGTGGAGGGAGGAGTGATCTTAAATTAGAGCTGCAGCATGGAACCAAAGGGGTAGGGTGCTTCCCCATTCTGGTTTTTGTAAAACAAAGTTGTTGAGAGTTCTAATATGGAACACTCCATGCCATGTAACAAGTAGCTTGACAGCTTCAAACTGAATGTAATTTTATCCCTTTCATCTAGTAGTCACTACCTCATCTGTATTTGATGAAAGGGAGAATTTGGGCTTGATGTTATCAAACTGTGTACTGATAAAGTCAGGTGACCAGTGTCAGTGAAGTAAATTTTCTGAAAAGTTTTGAATTGAAAATCCATGCCCTAAATACAGTTAGGTAACCTTTTTGGGCCCATTTGACGTCTTGAAAAAGCATCCTGAACTTCACAACAAATTGCTTTGTGGACTTGTATTTGTACCTGAATTCTAAATAATTCTCTTTCTGGATTCTCATTTTTCTCCCCCACCCCCCACCACTTTCCTCTAGGCTTTTCAGTCCCTACATAGATTTCTTCCCTGCTATGCATCTTCCCTATCCCTTCCCTGAGATCTGCCCTTTCTCCTGCTTCTTCTGTCTGACTCATGCACTTTAGCAGTGAGCAGTTGGGCAGCATGGTGGGAACTGCAACACCTAAAAAACAGCACAAACAGCTTCTGCCTAGCGGAGCTCACAAAGACTGGAAAATGGAGAAGAGAGCATGGGAAAATTGATGTTAGGCAGTGAGGTGGGAACTGCAGCAAGTAGTGGCACTCATAGATAGAAAGCAGGAGGAGAAGCTAGCATTGTCATAGTGACATGGAGAGGGCAGAGGACGTGGAGAGCAGTGTGTGGTCATACCAGGGGCATCTGCAGATGCTGTGTTGCTAACCCTTGACCTGAACAGATTATTACATTTATTGGTCATTTTTAAATGTTCTATTTAGTAAAAATAAAAATTTTTTTATTTTGTTATCTGAAAAAGTATCTCAGAAGTATTTACCAGTTAGGTGAATTAATTTTGAATTACGTTTATTTTCTGCTTTTTAGCATCTTTTTTCAGACAATGCATATGATTTTTGTTAACATTTTAAATGTGCTCCTTAGGGAGTAACCCAACAAAAGCTCAATTACACTTTTAAAATGGCATATGAATTTTGTTACTAGTAATTTTTTAAACAATTGCAGTTTTAGAAAAAATAGAATTATTATATAATATTAATATAATATGGCAGGGGTGGCCTGAACAAGGCTTGGGAGCTGCATGCGATTTTTTGAGTTTATTTTACAGCTCGCCACTCCCTGCCAAGGGCACTCATGGGTGCTCACTTGCTGCTCGCCACCTGTGGTGCCTGCTTTGCTGCTCACCACCTGTCATTGCTCCCCACGGGTGCCCACTTGCAGCTCTCAAACATCTGACATTTACCGTATGTGGCTCTTCCGTTGAGCAGGTCTGGCCACTCCTTTCATATCATTGTCATATTGCAGTTTTATTCTACCTTTTTTATCTTTTGCAAGGAATCCAAGGCAGTTTACATGTTATTCCTCCATTTCATATTAGCCTCACAATAACAAGCCAGTGTGGTGGGTTAGGCTTACTGGCACAGTCAACCAGTGAGCTTCCTGGCTGAATGGACTACAGCTGGGATCTCCCTGGTCCCCAGTCCAACTGCCACACCAGCTTTGAAAAACACAGTAGTGGAAATTTTTCATATCTATTTAAAAGGCTGGGCAATAGCATTGATCTCTGAGAAATGTAAGTAGAGCTTGTAAGAAGAGCTCCTTATACTTAGTTAGCTCATCTGTCCCAGTCTTTTTCACAGTATGATGAGGTATACCAAATTCCACTGTATTGTCCTCTAGAGGTTTTTTTTTTTAAGTAGAAATGCAGGGCATTGTACCTGGAACATTACCTGTATAAAGCATATTTGCTATCACTGAGCTATAGCTTTTCACCCAAATCTGTCTGAGGGCATGGCTACATGCTGCAGACACCTTGTTGAATAGGTTTGTGTCTAATCATAGCTAGGATGGGAGACTGCCTGGGAGTCTCATGTATGCTCTTGTGTTCCATGAGGAAAAAAGGTAGGGTACATAAAAAATAAACATTTTAAAAAATATATCCTTGACTTTTTGAAATTCTGTTAAGTCTCTCTTAATGTTTTCTCTCCTTTGTAAAGGGCAGTACAGTAACAGGGAATCCATCTTAATTTATCATGTCCTTCAATACAGAAGTGCAAAATAAAGACTGAAGATCTTTTGAATCTGTAATTTGTTTTTAATCTATCTTGTTTTCACTATTTTGCTTATTTTTCTGTTAATTGAATATGACCCTAATATTTCAATGCCTCACCACATTTAAGTGTTTTGTAAGTTTAAAAAAATCTTAAAATAAAAGCTAACTCATCTTTTTGAATTACTGCTTTCTCTTGTGTTGGACTCCTCCTTACTGACCTGACATCTTGCTTATACATGACCTGGGTATCTACCTCTTGCTCCATTCTGTGCCAGAGCTGATGAAGGAGAGTTGAACTTTAATGTAGCTAGTGTTGCCTCCACATTTCTCACCACAATCTGAAAGTAGTATTTGGTCTGCTTTACAACTGGGTGAAGATTGAGAAGACTGTTGTTAAT